TAAAACAATATGGGGAACCTGATGCTGCCTGGATCAAGGTGTTCAATTTCAAAACCCTCCAAAAGACAAATACTAAGTCAAGTCCTTTTCTAAGGATACTGGACCACATAGAAGATGACGATGAAGATGAAATACGGGAAGAAGAAAAGAGGAGAAGAAGAGGAAGAGGAAGAAGAGGAGGAAGGGGAGGAAGTAGGAGGAGGAAGAATCAGGTACCTGAACTTATATTAGCCACATCTTCCCTCCACACTGGAAAATGAAAGACAACCTTAGTCACTTGTGAGTAGAGGCAGTGTGCACTGGACTCTAGATGGACGTGGGGTACTGCAACCCAAAGCGTCAGTGAAAAGTGGCACCAAAACCCAGGAGTTAAGTCAACTTGAAAACTGGGTTCTCTGAAAACTTTGTGTTTGCCTGGTGGCCTTTTATTCAGTACAACTTGCAAATTCCTGGAGGGGGGTGAGGCAGCTCACTCCAATTCTGCACCTTAGTCCTTTGGTAGTTTCAAAAAGAAAAAAAAAGAAAAAAGATGTAGCTATGGACTCTTTTCAAACTAATAGATTCTCCCTCCTCTCCCACTGGTCACCCCCCACCTCCTTGCACCCTTTGTCCACTTTTATGAATTAAAACATGCACACACTTGCACACACAGGGAATCCTGCCATTAATTAAAGGACTTGTCAGCCCCAATCCCAGATTCGTACAGTGCAGGAAATGTCTCTCCTTTTAAGTGCAAAACCATAACATTACCATTTCCCCAAGTGCGCTCTGTTTTAGGCTGCTTTCCTAATTAGAGGGATGATAACAGCCGTGCTGATTGGCATTATAAAAGCACTAGTTTGGTTTCATCCGTCCCAGGTGTGCTGTGTAATTTTTTTCTTCTCACCGTTTCAGAGTGCTACCTCTTGCCTTCATTGTTCCTTAAAGTTTTCATCTGAGGAATTAATACAGATAAAAAGACATTAGAAAAGAGGTGCTGATGCCACTGCTCATCACCGAAAGCTTTTATCAAAAGTACAAACTATACAAGTTAGAGGATTTTTTTTTTTACCCTTTTGTTTCTGAGGGTTAAGGGAGTGGGAGGGGTGGCAGTGTGGAGAGGAGAGGAGAGGCTGGGGGAGAAACACAGCTCTGTCAATGGTCTGAATGCACCATTAAAACTGGCGTCACTACAAAGGTTAGAGCAGATCTAACTGTCAATACAGTGAGGAGTGGAGTCCGGTAAGGGGGAGCTTTTGAGAGAGAGAGATACTTTGATATTTTGGAACGTTAGAAGGGTGAATGTGAAAAATTGGAGGTTGGGGATCTAATTACCCAACCATAATTGGGGGCTAGGGAATAAGTTCAGTCCTCTCAACTCACCGCAGATCAATTATGTTAAGAGAACATCTGTAAGTAGAACTTAATGAGCTCCATTAGAGCAACATGTACAGCCTCCTCTAACAGTACTTGTCAGCTTCTTGGATGAGCAGAAGGAAGCTGCTAACCAGGGACCTGGCGAGGTATTTAAATACTGGAGAAGCCGCTCTGGCCCACTCAGGTTTTGTGTGCACTTCGGGAAGAAAGTGAGCACAGAGAGGCGTATCAGAAAACCAAGGAAGGAGGAAACAGAAGGCTCTGGTATTTGTGTGGCTGCATCTCCAGGAGTGATGGTGGGAGTGTGTGGAGGCGTATTGTCAACCTCATCCTTCCCTTGACTGAGACCTTTGATTGTATCTGGACTTTAGGGGGGTGCTGTCCTTTGCCTCCCCCCCCCCAACAACAACAACCTGTCTGCTACCCTTAAAATCATTACTGAAAATCCCCACACAAAAGTAATCGTGCGGTGGGTTTTGCAGAAAGAGAAGGCTGAGAACTTGAAGACGTATTTAGAAACATACACACACTTTATTTATATATTTATATATATATTATTTTCTTGTGGGAGATCTCTTTTGAGCAAAGGTAAGTTGGATATGTCTGATCTCCTCCCATTCTATCATTCCACCCACTATGCCCCTCATAAAGGAATCATAGTATTTGGACCCAGAAAAAGACAGATCTGCCTTTTTTGTTTTTTTCTTAAGTGTTAGTGCTTGGGGGGTGGATTGAGTTAAATTTTCTCATCAAATGTATAAGTTGCAGAAACAGGGGACAGGCCGAGGATAATGGGACCAAGAAGAGTGCCTCTTTATGGCAATCCTTTTTACAAAGATTTCCGAAGGATGTGTAATTAAACTGGGTAGTTTACTCTCAGGAAATGAAGAAAGTGCTTGCCTGGCTTGATCCAACCTTTAGCTTGGCTGAGTAAACAAAAGCACAAATTCTTTCACTTTTTCCCTGGTGGGAGGGGCGAGTCATGGGGGTTGGGGGAGCGAGGGGAAAACAGGGGGTTTGCTGAGGGTTAATGGTGTTTTTCGCAAAGTGTCGGCAGAAGATGATTAAATTCCACCTCTTGTTCACTAGATCACTTTGTGTGCGCTTGTATATTTCATTGTCAGCAACCGCTGATGATCACATCTGTGCAGTACATTAAGTGGCAAGCCTCTTCATCTGCACCGGGTTTTTCTGATGATTTTTTTCTGTGAATAATTCATATGATTATGAAGAGAAAAACTGCTATTTTCTATCTCCTCTCTCTCTCTCTCTCTCTCTCTCTCTCTCTCTCTCTCTCTCTCTCTCTCTCTCTCTCTCTTCTATCACACAGATTCAAATAAAAAAAATCTTGCTGTAAATTGCGTGATTGGGGAGATAGCCTGCTTTCAAATAATTTAATTCATGACAAAACCTAATTACTGTCAGGTAATACCCTGTCAGCTTTAATGCATTTCATCAGTCATAATGAAAAAGAAGACCATTTTATGACCCATCTAATTATCATTACATTTTAGGGGAAAATGAATGGCATGGAACTGAATGTTAACTATTCCATTTTATTCTTTTACACATGTGGTTTGGCATATTATTCACTAAGTTCCTCTCTCTCTCTCTCTCTCTCTCTCTCTCTCTGTCTCTCTCTCTCTCTCTCTCTCTCTCTCTCTCTCTCTCTCTCTTTCCTCAGTACAAGTAAGGGGTAGATGCTAAAACTGAAAGGAAAAAGAAGATGGGAAGTAGGGGTGGGATGCAATTAGAGATCTGGGTGTTTGTCCTTAAAAAAAAAAGGTGTCAAAGTGGTTAATGCCTTTGCAGGTTGGTGTTGATATGGGAATCTTACTGCCATAGTCCAAATAGAGTACTAATTACTGCGAATGATGTCACCGTAGGCAGAGGAATAATCCCATCATTTAATTAGTTGAATGATTTAAACAAAGATTTGCATAGATGCACTAATCAGTTACCATGAATTACAGAGAAGCAGTTGCCAGTGAGGGGTAACAGATCATACAGTTGGAGGGGGAAAAAAAATCTCATCTCCTTGAACATAATTAATTTAATTGTCCTCATTAGCTGTACCATTTGTTTTCATTTTATTTCTCCCTTTCCCCACACATACTTCTCCCTCCCTCCCTCCTTTTCTTCTCAGTACATTGGCTTAGAGAGAGAGGAGAGAGGAGAGAGGAGAGAGGGGAGAGAGAGAGAGAGACACAGAGAGAGGGAGAGAGAGAGAGCACATGACACACATTCACATACTCTGGGGTGTTTTCAGAGTGGCTGTGCCTGGAAGGTGGGGTAGACCAGCCAGGAGCTGTGTGGATGGGTGAGGTGTGTGCTACCTAGCCCAGCCAGAAAAGCCAGACTTAAGTCTGCTTATAGACACAACACATCAGCTGAAGGAGTTCTCACTAATCTGCCTGACTCTGAATTTCGATATTTTTCAGGTTAGTTCTGAGTTTTGTTGCCTTTTAAAGGGAGAAGAAAGCAAGTCACATACTATTTTATTATGACCCTTCAGAAGATTGGAGTTAAAAAAATAAATTAGCCTTTCAGTGCCAGGGCTGTGGATAGAGAGGAGCATAATTTAGCATAAATATTCAAGGGGGCTGCTTTGATTTGGGGATGGGGGGACAACTAGGACCAGATTAAAATTGATGGTGCAGAGGAGAAAATAGTTGTGGTTTTTTTTCTTTTCTTTTCTTTTCTTTTTCAACAATTGAATCTTTCTTGGCTCTTAAAACATCTCGGCCAGTGTCATTCAAATTTGCACTATTTTTAAGCTTGACCTTTGACAAGCCTTTGTAAGACCTGCTGAGGGGGGCTCCCAGAGCTGTGAAGAGGCAGAATGGCTGAAGTTGGAAAACTTGGAAAACAGAAGAAGATATTTTAAAGCTATCTGTGATCTTTAGTAGATGCAAAGTGAAGAGAAGAGGTTAGGGAAAATGGGACCTCTTTCAAGAAAAAAAAGGGAAAAAAGGAAGAAGGAGCTGTCAGGGCCTTAAAACAAGTCTATGAAGGCAGTTTGAGAGGGGAAAGGGGCTAGCTGGCCAAGTTAGCCCTGGAGGCTTGTGTCTCCATGTCCTGGGGGGAGGGAGGCAAAGAGGCATATTTTAAATGCAAGTAATTCAAGTCCCTGCAATAAATTCAAAGTGTTCAGCACCGGGCTTGGGTAACAACTTTACAGTTTGGCTCTTTGGCCATTAGGGAGAAAGAGAAAGCCGGGTGTGTGGCACTTTCTGGACCCGGTTTGTGAGACAGACTTTTGGAGAGGTCTTGAGAGAGTTGCCGAATGGAAGTCACAGCCCCGGCAACTTCAGGCAGCCCCCCCCCAACCCCGACATTTGCTAAGAGGGGGAGGGGGGGCTGTGCGCTCTTCCTGGGTATCCTGGTAGCGCTTTGATTCCCTGATTTTTATTTTAATTTTCATCAGCAATGGATTTAGAGGGCAATTTGCTTTCATTATACCCAGCCTATTCCAAGATGCCCCGGTTATTTTAGGAAGCCCTACCCTTCTCCGGAGCTTTTTAGCAGGAGTTCTTGTAGATGGCTCTAGGAGGTAGGGTCTTCCTGACAGTCCAGTCCTGCAGAGGTCACAGTCTCCGGTGTGCGGGTGCGTGATGTGATGGGGAGGGGGTGTCCTCAGTGTTTGTAAGGAGCATGTGCGAGCTGTAGTTCTGTCTGCACTCCCAGGCTTGTAAATTTTCACCCTGGGAAATTAGCAACAAAGCCCCGATCTGTCTCCTGGTTGCTTTGCACTTTCCGAGGGCGGCTGTACTTGACTGAGCTGCAGAACAGACAGCGGAGAGAGAAAGAGAGAGAGAGAGAGAGCAACAAGAGAGAGCGAGGGAGCCAAGAGAGGGAGGGAGAGCAGAGGGAAGGGGTGGGGGCGAGGTAAATACTCTTAAATCGGAAGGGAGCAGTTTCCTCTGTGGTCTTGACAAGCGCTGCCTGGACTCCGGCGGCTCTGTAATAACTGAGTGACCTTTTCTTTGGCTGTATTATGTCTGGCTGAGAAGGGATTGCATTTTGCAGCTGAGAAAGCCAGGGGCTTCCTTCAGCTCCGGCTCCTTGCACACTGCTGGGGTAAGTTGTCTGGAGCCTGGACCAAAGAGACATCCTCGGACTGCAGTTGCCTAAAAGGACACCTGTGGCTTGCATGCGGTCCACACCGATACTTGGCGGATCCTGGAGGACCTCATTATTTTAAACTTAAAAAAAATAGAGATTCCCTCCAACCCGCCCCCCCGCCTTTTTTTTTCAAACAATGCTTCTTTTTGACCTTTCCCAAGGAGAAGCGCTACCAAGCAGCCTCGGAGCCTACTGAACAGCCTCCCCCTGTATAGCTTAATTGAGAAGGTAAGTAGAGGCTGTGTACACATGCGTCGGCTTATTTGTGCTGTGTGTGTCTGCGGGTGCGCGCGTGCGTGCGTGTGCGGTTGTGGGTCTTTTTTTTTTTTTTCCTTCTTCTCCATCCTCTCTTAATGAGACATAAATTAGAGCTATATTCAAACTCCCCACCTCCCCACCCCATTGCTGCAACTTTCACCGGGGCTGCGGGACTGCTGAGATGATTTTTCTGTTGAAATCATGAGAGCATCATTATTTTTATGATGAGTTGTGAAATAGATGCGGGGAGGGAGATGTGGATGCGGAAGGAAGGAGAGAGACTGCGGAGCGTGGCGCCCTCAAGTAGAAGTCCAGTGCTTGACCGTCAAAGTTCATGCTAACAGCAGCCTTCGCACACCCAGGACTCCAGGACAGGAGCTGGGATGGGGAAGGGGTGCATGTCCCCAGCCTGTGGGAGAGTGTGTTCTAAGCCCGCCCCCCCCACACGCCTGCTTGATGAAATTCACGTCCTTCTCCTAAAAGAGTTGAAATTACAATCTTCTGCTTCTCTCCACGCAGCCTTAATAACAAAATGTTTTGCCCCTATGCTTTGCGAAAGTGACTATGTTGGGATGGGGTGGGGAGGCAGATTCTGTGAACTGAAATGCCTATGTCCTAATAGGTTGAGATTCAGCACATTTTTACCGGGCTACTCAGATGGCTGTTATGAAATACAAGTCAGATTTATGATCTTTTTCATATTGAACACGATATGCTATGCTAACGCTGCGTGTGACAGTTTAATCAAATCCATTTGTTACCAGGGAGGCTAAAAGGGGCCGCTGGGATGTTAGGATTACGGGCAGAGTTAGGGAAGCATGTGGCTTTGTCATTCGCCATCATTTTGCACACGGCCACACGGCGAGGGGGCTCCCTCGGTGCTCTCACAGTGTCTGGTCTAGCCCTAGTCCCTTCCCCCACCCCCTCCATCGCCACTGCGACCCGCTCCCTAAGTGGCTTCACAATACTGGGTCCTCCGCGGTGCAAGCTGCGCACCAGAGCCACACTTGAGCCAAATCCAGGCGATCCAGCTCCTCCTCGCCACCCCTGGTGCTCCATGCGAAGCCGCTGCAACTCACGAACGCCTAAGTCAACTCATGCAGAAAAAGGAGAAAAGTTTTGGTAAGGTTACGATCTATCATAGATACACTTTCCCGGGGCGCTCAGCAAACTCGTGGCTGGCTCCAAAGCCTGCGTGCTCTTCCGCTGCTAAAGATCCGAAATATTATTGTTGTAACTGCGTTGAAAGCCTGCCGCTTTCAACCAATTAATCTCGCCAGGTCCACAAATACTGCTACATTCTTTGCAAAACCCTGTGTGGCTGCAAAGACACAATCGCGAAGGCTAGGAGCATAAACTCAGCAAGGGATTCTTTGTTAGAGTGTATGTATGTTTCTTATTTTTTTTTTTTTTATTTTGCATGTGAGCTGCATCAAAATTGAACCCAGTCTTGCAAATCTCTTGTTGGCCTTTGCCAAGCACCAGCACTTTGCTGCCATGGTAACTGTAATTAAACTGATAAGAGTGGAAAAATGTCAGTATCTCTGAGCCTTGCAGCTGCATTGGAGAAAAAGGGAATCAAATTGGTTCCCAGCTCCATTGCTCAAAAAAGGGGAGGGTGATGGAAGGACAGGGAGGGGGGTTGGGACTTGAAGGGGCAGAATAGTGAAGCAAAGCCAGGGCCAGAGATCTGGGGACATCCATTTGCATTGTTGTCCCTTAGGGGGCTGCAGCCTGTAGGGGTGCTCTGGGCCACTGAACAGAGAGAAACAAGCTTTTAGGCCCAATCCAGTTTTCCTGTTGGGGTTGGGGGGTGGGTAGGAGTGTGATGAAGATGGGCAGGAAGAGAGAAAATCTTTTGTTTGGTACTCCTGGCAATCCAATGGCTGTGCTGGCCAAATTCTTTTAATCTATGTCACCGCTCCCAGCTGCTGAACCTGCAGTCCCATTTTAGCATCTTCTCTTCCAACAACCCTTCTTCATGAAGCTCCCCCCCCACCTTCTCTCAAATTGTCCTCTTTGAATCTTTCAAAAGGGAAAAATGTTTCCCTTCACGCTGTCATTAGTCCAAATAATACATATGTGTCAAAAAAAATACTGTGCCTAAGCACTGCGCATCTTTTATCATGATGATTATTTTTAAGCCCCTGTGTATTGTGGAGTTGTGGTTACTGTGTTGTGTTAACTACTGGAGCTGAGGCTGTGCGGATGAATGACACAGAACAAGGCAACATAATGGAAGCAATCAACCGTCAGGCCGCCTCACAACGCAATCCAGGCAATTAAAAGCTCACCAGAGTTTAAATGAAACGGTTCTACTTTTTTTTCTGCACAGCACACTGTACAGGCTATTATTTATGTCTTTTTTAAAATTATGATTTCCCTTAAACTGTCAAATAACTCAGAATGGCAGGGTCTCAGAGGCAATAAGAATTTCCCTCAGAACAATTTGCATGCCAATCTAAAACTAGTTATGAGTGCTGATGGGCTACGAGCAACTTTTGAAGTATCTCTCAGCCATAAACGTGTAACTCTCCCCAGACTTGTTCTTTTGGATCAAGAGCAGACACTACTCAACTACTTTCTGCCTTTTAGGTACATGGCAATGTAGTAACTACCAAACAGTTCTTTTCCTACACTGGTTAACTTGCATAGTATAGAAAAGATTCCCTTTTCAAGAGAAAAGAGATGGTGTTCTCTAAAAGAAGATAAGAGGCTGCAGTAAAAAATATCAAACTCCTTTTATGCCCAAGGCCAAACAGAATGTAAGAGTTTCAGATATTAATTGGCCTCAGAGTGCTAAATTAAAATGTCAACACAACAAAAACATTTTGTGAAGAGAAGCCGGGTAGTGTTCCTGGGTGCCAAATGTTGGTATCTGCTGTCTTGGTTACAAAGCACCTTGAATAAAGATAGCTGACCCTCCACACTTGGTTGTGGTGTCAGAACTATGGGAAATAATGGAGTTCAGCCACTACTAAGAAAAATTCATTTCTTTTTTCCATCTTTAGTGATATTACTAAAATAGTCTTCAAATTAGGTAATTAGAATAGTACTCTCCCTATACCTCTGGATGCTTCTAGTCATGAGAGCGGACTGTCCTTTGGTAAATCAAAATCCTCGATCCTTCCAGGTACATGGCTAAGAGGCATTTGGGTTTGTTGTAGACTGTAATTAATGGGATTCATCCCTCCTGAAACCTGGCTGGAGGAAGATAACTAGTTCTGATCAAAGAAACTCCATTCGTTAGAAGTTCTAGAGAGTGCGATTTAGCAGGGCTATCAAGGGTTATGATTAATCTATACCAGGCCCTTAGCTCCTTCAAAGAAAAGGAGCAGAAAGCGGACCACAGGACTAACACCTGCTCTTCTGCACAAACAGGCTGCTGGTCTACAGCTCAGACCACCACAGTATGCAAAGCAGGCAGAACAGCCACCCAGCTGTCTGCCCTGCCTTTCCTCCCCCACTACTCTACCAGACAAGTTATTTTCTAATGAAAGCTCAACATAATATTATGTGCAATTCATGAATGATTTGAAGCCAGAAAACTTATTTAACTGCGGGCATTCCTTCTTGTCTCTTATCAATATAATTTTTTAAGGTTGAGAGGGTAAAGAATGAGGTGAGCCCCTCATTATAAGGTTTCAGAGGGCCCCAGAGAGTTTCGCTATCTGGGAGAGGACAAATAAATAGTAGATGCTTGGTTCTTTCCCCTCTGGAAACTGATTTAAATGCAGAAGTATTTGGTGTTTTAAATCTCTGTCCTTTCAAGTTTTAAACTTTATGCCTAGGAAAGGAAATGTAGTATTGCGGAACTATCTGTGGGTTGCAGGAAGCCACTTGACCCCGGTCCATAGCTACACTGTCCATCTTTTAGGGAGTCTCTTAACCTTTCTGGATCTCTGTATTATAATTTGCAATATGAGGGAATCGATGATGTCCATAGTATTTTATAGTGCTGCAAATTGTTCCTCAATAAATACAAAGCTTTGACTAGTTGGGCCTGCTTTTCTTTTCTCTTTTTATAAAGGCTCGATGTTTGACACCTGGAAAAGAAGAAAATAGAACCTCAGAAGTAAATGTTCATTCACTGAAAAGATTTCAATCAAGTTGTAAAATACAAATAACCCAGCTAGATTCCTTACTTATGAAAATATAGCCTTAAAATATATTAAGTGCCCCTATAGTTAATATGGTACATGTACCTATATACATCTGTGTATATCTGTTTATGGATGATTGTGTAATTTTATATATATTTCACCTTTGTCTTCTTTCTTCTTTCCCCTGTAAAACAAGTGTATGTTTATGGCTATAAATTGTCCAATCCTATACTTTAGTTTTTTATTAGAGCAAGTATTTTATAGGTAAGTGACGTTCTATAGACACTGACTGATGAGAATGAACAAAAATATACTTTGCTATTTTAACACAATGACTCTTTTGAAGCAGCAAGGATGTAAGAGGAAGTAACTGGATGTACTAGAAGATGGGTGGGTTTTGGGGGGTGGCTGTGCTGTATACCTTTCTATAGACGCTTCTTCAGCCAACAAATGCAGTTTAAGTGAAATTTTTCAATGGTTAAGTCAAACACAGTTTTGACCCCCATAAGCTATGCAGGAGTTGGTTTAATTCTCTTGCGTTTTTCGGTTGTCAACCATTGACTCACATTTTCTTTCTCAAGGAGCTATTCAGTGTGGCGAATCAGACACCGAATACTATTTAAATTCCATACGCAAGTCAAGTCACCACATACGACATCAATTCATTCTTATCATTACTTTATGGGTATGAGCTTACCAATGCTTTGAGAAGGATTCTACAAAGTTTGAGACTTACTTCCAAGATTTACTTTGGTCACAATGCATCCCTTGCCAACAAAACGTGATGCTTGGAGAATATTCTAACTTCCCCTGGTTGAGGCCTTTTGGCGTTTTTCTCTTCTGTCTGGTGTCAGCTCTCACTTCTCATTTGTTTCTTTTTAGGTATACAAATGCTCTCAGTTCAGCCAGACACCAAGCCGAAAGGTTGTGCTGGCTGCAACCGAAAGATCAAGGACCGCTATCTTCTAAAGGCGCTGGACAAATACTGGCATGAGGATTGCTTGAAGTGCGCGTGTTGTGACTGTCGTTTGGGAGAGGTGGGCTCCACCCTGTACACTAAAGCTAATCTTATCCTTTGTCGCCGAGACTATCTGAGGTAGGAATTATCCTTCCACACCAGTGATGGCTGGATGCCTTTTAATAGACATTTGGAAGTGTATTTTTGTTTGTTTGATTTCCAGCTTGAGTTCCTGAAGGTGTTGCCCTGTCAGCCTTCAGGCCGTTCTCACGAAATCTACTGCTTAAGGGATATGAACAAAATATAGTATCTGAAGTGTTTGAATTTGGCTTGTCCAAGTGCTCATATTTAGGAATCAGTCATTTGTTACTTATATTGAAAATGTTTAATGTCAAAGATGTGTTTGGTCAAAAACAGCATTCAGGCTTAAAAAAATTCTTTTTATTAGAGCATAAGAGACAAAAATGGGCTGAGTCTGACACAGAAAAATGAACCAATTGCTTAGCTAAATATTTTAGCTCTATGTTTTATAAAAAGATCAACTTTGGTTGGACCTTACAGTCTTAGCTTATTTAGTGATGCTTTCTGCTTCAGATTCTTAAAGGAAATCAATTTTAAATTCTTAACTGGCATTTAAAATTAGAATATGTGCTGGATGGTTTTGAAAACTTTATCCAAGTGTGACTGTCCTCTCACCCAGTGATACTCAGAATAAACACTGGAAACTGAGAAGCCTTAGATTTGCTTGTAGCTTTAGAGAATAACAAAGTAGAGACCTCAGTCTTCATGGGAAATGACAGCCACACTCCAGTGTAAACATCTGGATGGTTTCTGACAATGCAGGCATCTAAGGTTATGAAGCTCTGATGTTAGTTCACCATGCCTCCCAGCATCTGGTAGCCAGGACAGAAATTCTACAGAAGAGAAATCATTTTGCATTTCAGGGAACTTTCTGACTTGATATAGCTGCAAATTACTGATCTTAATAAAGTAGGATCTATCAAATTAAAGAAATGATATATGGCATCATTTGGATTTTCATATTTGATACAATTAATCATTTTTTCTAGTCTGACATTAAGCTATTTATTTTGAACCATTTTTCTTATGACACAAAATTTATCAGTCGGCAGGAACCTTAACCATCTTAGTTATTCTGAACCCTTAA